TATATGAATGTATACCACAGTATTCTCAGTTTCAACATTACTTTTTACAGATTATCGGTGTCGGGCCATAAAAAAACTGGGTGTTTTCTAGTCAAAAATATTTGGCAGGCCCCACATATAGGGTTTTCAAATCATTTTCATGGGCTTAAAATGAATCACTCTCGGGTCGCACTTTGCCCACCTGTGATTTATACAGTATTTCGAGGGATATTCGTCACCTCGTGTAAACCATCCTGAGCTCTGCTTGTCAAAAACACGCGCACATTGGCAATCTTTTTTTTTGTTTAATTCTTACATTTACATCCAGTGTTAGACCTACTCAATTGTTAAATGCTTAAAGCATTGAAAACATAAATTATGTGGATAAAATTATTAAAGAATTTACAATAAAACGTATAATTTATAAGATTATTTTTAAAGAGAATAAAATAGATATATTTTTTAAAATTAAAAACATGTTTTACATAGATGTAAGTTGATTTAATATACTGAATCATTATTAATGGTATACTGTATACCTATTATATTTCTCTAAATTAATTAACAAATATCTCATTAATCATACAGTCATAAATAGGCTTATCAAAGTATTTTTTTATTATTATTTCATATCACATTTACAAAACATACAGACAAAATAAAGACGAAAGGAAAGAAAGTTATATCCATATAAACTAAACGGTAAAGCTTAAACCAAGAACATATTTGAAAAATAATAATGTAACAATTTAAAGTAAATTAACAAATTGACAAATTAACCATTCTGCGTCGAAAACTTTGTAGCCACGTATCTTACAACATTTAAACAATTGTTAAGGTACAAATTGGTGCTCTGATATTTGGAATCTTTTTTGCCTACTCTGCATTTATAAATTAAGTATTTTGTAACAATAATAATAGTATTCACCGAAAAACTTTGTTTGATATCACAGAATAAAATGGACTCTAAAGTGAAAGATATTTTTCTAAACGCTTTTGATACTTTCTGTTCAATGTTTATCCATGGTTGAACGCATTTACAGTTAAAGAACAAATGAGGAATCATTTCAGGTACGCTATGAAAAATAGTACATTTATCATCCGGAGATATTCCAATTTTACATAAAAATACATTATTATATGATTAACTCTGTATTGGAACCACTGTAGATTGGTTTGCTCTGAACATTTAAATGGTAGGATATACATGCGTTTCAATTCCTCAATTGTCCTCTTTATCTCGATTTTTTCTTTCCATTTTATCATGCTTTTTGGAATAATAAAGTCTGAAGAAACAATTTTGTTATAAAAATGCTTACGTCCCTTAGCGATTTTAACAAGTATATTGATATGAAATGGAATTATTGGTGCGCATAATTTAGTGGATTGAGATAACAGAATACTTGTGTTTTATTGCATTAATAAGACATTGATACTGCAAAAAGTTACATTTGATATCATAGTGTTTCTTAAAATGTTCCTATGTCATCAAGGCATTTTATCTGAACTTATAAATCGTTTATGTAAACTATACCCTTTTCATACCAACACCATTTTATCATCTGTTGTTATAATATAATATTTCCCCATAGACCTGTACCGCCGTTTGTTTAATAGTGTTTGTGTTACAAAATGCATAGAAATATTTGTCTTGGTCTTGTAATAAAGTTTTAGTAGACATTTTATCAGGGAACTGTTTTATAGTGTTGTGTCGCTCATTCACATCCTCAGCTCCTTATTTGTCTGCTATTGAGAGACATTTACGCCTTAATGCCTGCTAAATTGGCGGGCATTATGGAATCAAAAACATGACAAAGGTGCTATCAACCAATGTCAGAATTAACACGGTCATATTAAACCAATGGAAATCAACAAATCATGAAAATAAAAGTTTTTTGTCAATTTTTTAACTGTTGATATCTGTACTGTTTACCGAATCTTTTTTTTCTATTTAATTCGCACCAAGCCATAGCTACATCATTCCAGAAGGCATTATTCTGAGTAGTTAAAATTATGATTGTACCCGTTAGGATTCCACACATTTTGGGAACAAAAAAATCCGTCAAAATTTTCCATTTTCCAGATGATGTCAGATACCTTCCGATCCACGAAATTTTCAATGCCTGAAAGCACTCTTTTATTTGAACCATATTAATTCCACCTTCATTTTGGTTTTTGCATATTTGTTTTCTACTTATTTTTGTTTTGGAGGATTTCCAAATAAATTTAAAAAGCAGGGTATTAAGTTCAGTACTGAATGATTTAGAGGGATTTGGAATGATTAAAATTAAATTATTTATCTTAGGGAGAATTAACGATTTCACGATGGTCAACCTTACGAAAGGTGTTAAATATCTTTTTGACCATTGTGCTAAAGATTTTCGTATAGATAAAAGGAAATCAACATAGTTAAGATCAGACATTTGGACAAAATTAGCATAAAACTTAATACCAAGTAAATTAAATTTTCCAAAATATTAGTATCATAATTAATTATTAAAGTATTACTGTAATTGAAGTAATGTAGAGTCCCGTAACAACAATACGATTTGATAAACATTCAATTTTATTTTCATGATTTGTTGATTTCCATCGGTTTAATACGACCGTGTTAATTCTGACATTGGTTGATAGCACCTTTGTCATGTTTTTGATTCCATAATGCCCGCCAATTTAGCAGGCACTAAGGCGTAAATGTCTCTCAATAGTAGACAAATAAGGAGCTGAGGATGTGAATGAGCGACACAACACTATAAAACTGTTCCCTGATAAAATGTCTACTAAAACTTTATTACAAGACCAAGACAAATATTTCTATGCATTTTGAAACACAAACACTATTAAACAAACGGCGGTCTGACTAATATTATAGTATACTGCAGGCGCAAATTGAAAGACAAATAGCCAACATTTTATCAAATTATTTTATTTAAAAAATATTACATAAGACTTTCTGTATAATCTTTTGGAGACCAAGATGCGATCCGACGACCCTTCAAATTCACTCACTACCCAAAGTCATGATATGACCCATTTGTTGCCGATCGTAGAATTAATCAACTAGTAATATATAAATAAATTTCATTATGACTGCATACAGTAGACCACATGTCATGCATGGACAATAATATTCCAAATAAATGTTAATGAAATTTCAGTTCCTAAACCTTCATATTTGTCAATTAAAAGTCACCATCCATCTATAACTTCCATATTTTGTCAATTTCTTTAACTGTTGATAAGTTTAGCGAGACCCAGGCCGGCTAGCTAACCATACTAATTCATTCAGTAAAATCGATTCAGTCATGGCGATCGGTATTCCCGCCGAGTTATAATCAGCTTGTACTGGGTAGGAACAACAAGATTTCTTGCTCCAGATATTCGATGCTTGAGTAGAAAGCAGTGGCCGATTCAGGGGTTGGGGCCTTTTTAAAATTCCAAAATAAAAAGAGATAAAAATAATATATTCATACAGTAATTCCACATCGAATCCTGAACTTACGTGATTTCCAACATTTCTTTTTATATGGAGAGTAGAATAGTAGGCCTTTTTTCAAATCAATCAATTATCAGTCATTATTATACTTCCTAAAATATCAGCAATTATTTTACAATATTTGCCAATAATTTAGTTTATTGTATAAGCTATAAAGATTTAATTCGATTTAATTTTATGTAAGAAACATATTAATAGGCCTATTCCGCATAGGGCCTATTGATGAAAAATCACATACGGCGTTTTCCGACTCCTTACCATCAGCTGGGACGGCACGCACTGGGCAGGCCTAATTTTTTTTCTCCGTATATACTTTTGTTTTCTTCAATTTCAAACAAATGAACGATGATTGTCGTGTAATTTTTGTATTTTAACTAAATATAACCCACTGTTACCTACCAATTCGATTAAAATCTGGCCAAATTTTGGCCGATATCGAAAACAAGTTTGGCCGAATTTATTTATGGGCGAATGTATTTATGAATAAAAGTATCATACTCTCTAATTAAAAGTATTGATTAATTTCTAGAGATTTCTTGTGTATACTGCCCTTAACGATTTTAAAATTATAAAGGTGTACATGGACATGAGTTCAAATAAATGCATTTGGTGTTTTTTACAAAACGAAAACTGATGATTATTGGATAATGGAGGAACACTCAATATGGGTCATACTGTAATGTATTTTAACTAATTGCAAGGATGACATCGAAAAAACTTGCTCAAACATGCATAGAAAACTGCGCTTCGTTTCGTTCGTGCCTCACTTCGGTCGCGCTTCATATGTCAAAATCTTGCCCTCTCTCAATGAAGACAACTTGCTTCACCCACAAAACGAATGCGTGACCCCAGATCGCAATACAGGCCAAGTAATTGGCTACCCCTCGTCGCTCTTTGGCGTCCCAGCCAGTTTTCCCTACAACTATGAAAACAATGCAGAGAAAACAGTGCACATAGGCCATATAAGCCCTATACATTTTTCCAGACATATCTGTGGTCTCCGCTACCTAGCCTAGGCTATAGGCTAGGCCTTCTATTAATAGTACTGTACCAAGCTGTCTCTTATGACAGTAGGTCTAACACATTCCATTGCGAAGCGAGAATTGCCAACTATGATTGTATAAATAATCATTGAAATGGTTTTGTGAAGTAGATAAAATTAGCATAGAAAATAAACTTATAATTGATAAGATTATTCTTTTAAAACAGCATAAAATAGATAACATTTTTATTTAAAAAACAGATTTTGTATAGACTAAGTTGATTTAATATTCTAATTCATTACCGGTATTATCTCACTAATCAAACTATAGTAAATAAATAGCCTATTAAAGTATTATTAATTCATTATTAAAGTAATAATATTTGAGCACTGTTAATATTATAATTAATTATAATTACAATTATAGGCCTATTTATTAATATTATTATTTGCCGATAAAAAAAACTGCAGTTTTTTTTTTTGGTTTTTTTTTTTTTTTTTTTTTTTTTTGCACTGCCAATAGAATATAAGAGCTTTTTCTCTCACTGCGGCAGTGCCGGTAGAAAACATCGGATTTTTTAATTCACACGGCGGCTGTGATGATAGCCTCAACTTACCTGGGCCCAAGGGATAACCCTACCTTCAGTCACGTTATCTTTTGCACTAGACCTATGGCATGTCGGGAAGGTAGAAACTGATTTTCCATGGCACACATTTTAATTTCTGAATAAAAGTTATCATGTTGCCATAGGCCTACGCTTTAATTAAAAGTATTGATTAATTTCTAGCGACAGCCATTCCTGTGTATATTGCACTTAACGACTTTATAATTATGAAGGTGTCAATGGGCATGAGTTCAAATAAATGCATTTGGTGTTTGTTACAAAACGAAAACTGATGATTATCGCATAATGGAGAAACACTCAATATGGGCCATACTGTAAAGTATTTTAATTAATTCCACGGATGACATTGCAAAAACTAGCTCAAATATGCATAGAAAGAAAACCGCTAGGAAATAGGTGCGCAAAATCACTGCATTGCACTTGGGCCAATACAGTACATGATTTTCAACAAAAACTGAGCAGGAAACAATTACTATTCTACAATTACAATTTATAATTTAATGGGTGTAATCAAGATTAATAAACATTTCAATATTAATTTTTGCATTCCTTCTAATTTAGATTTTTATGAATGTATTTTATTTCAGTAAATATTCTATAAAAGTCTAACCATTCCAAAATGCACTTCTGAAGATCTCAGTGGACCAGTGGCTACAATGTTGCTTCTTGTTTGTGCTCGTTAATATTTGTTGAATGGTGAGTCAAAAAACTTGTTCTTATTATGAATTCCATGTCCACTGTGAAATGCTTTGTTGGATAACCTCTGACCTGTTTCAACACTAAAAATAAATATTTTAATTTCAAACACAAAAAGTGATATAATTCCCAATTAAATTATTTTAAAATAATTAAAATAAATTTTTAAAGTTTTTATAAAATAAGGTGACAATTTAAATTAATATAATTAACAGGGTAATACAATTGGACAGATAAAAATAATAAGATTATTTCATTTTCATTAATATGACAAAACAATGGACAAAACTATATAAAGTGATTTTCTATTTAGTATTAAATTCAAAATTATCATTATAATTTTGAAAGAAAAAATATTCTGATAAAATGATGAGATAGAAATAAAGATAGAATATATATGCCTATTTATTATAATTTAAAAAACACATTGTAACAATATTTAGTAGTAAACGCTATAGTTTTAATAATAAAACTATTTGTATAAAGATAGACACACAAACACACACGCCCCCACACCCACACACGTCAGGCTGCTATACACTGGTGTGGAGTTGTTTTGGTGATGAGAAAAAATCCTGTCACTGTGACAGAAATTAATCCTAGGACCCTGGGATTGGAAGGCTTCTATACTTGTTAGGGTCTGAACTTAGCGCCTGGTATGGTGTAAGTTCAACCATATCTAATATGATTAATAATTAACTGTAACTTACATAAATGATAACGTTACATAAATGATAACGTTACATAAAGTGAAATTTAATACTAATCAAGATTGAGAATAAAAATAATACAGTACTAAATTATATAATTTAAAGTTGAGGCTGTACAAGCTTTAGTTCTTAACACATCCTTAACCGACCATTCCATTTATGTAGTGTCGAGTCTCCAATCCTGTGAAGAAAATTAGCATGATTTGTTACCAAAAATGCCAAGGTCTAGGCTAAGTTTGCGAATTTATTTACTATGCATTTATTTGGGGATATTACACCTTTGTACCTGTAGAACTCACGACCCGATTCTACCCAATGATCTGACAAGACGATAGTAATGATGACTTCACCAAACATAATTAGGTGATTCTGATGCATGTGAGTGTGATTGGTGCCAATGTCACCGGCACCAAATAGAAGTTTATCAGCATTTTATTTGTCTCCGAAACCGACACCAACTAGACAATTTAGGTAGAATCGGTTACACCCACGGTCAGTGGTGCGTCTTACAAAACACACAAGAGCAAACAAGTGAAAAAGTATTTTAACGAAAGCAAAATAAAAAAAGTATAATGCTGAAATAACCCCTCAAAATCAATTTTACTAGGAACGACTTCGTCATATCTTGATACCGCTTTAATTGTTTCACATAACCATCCCGTTCTAATAGCAGGAGCTGCATAAAAAACCTGCTTAAAAACATAGGCAATAAATAAAACATAAAAGTTTGTATTGATGTTGGGGACAAGTTACCTGTTAAGTTCAGACACCTCACCTGATCGTAGTTTTATTTATTTATTTATTTTTTGATGGGCCACCTCTTGTGACAAGAGGCATTGGACTGTCAATTCCAGATGTTCTCCAGCAGTTGATGCACCTGCACCGACTCTGGATCTTGGGGGAGACACAACCAAACTTCTCTTCGTGTAATCGAGATAAAAAGGGGTCCAGACTATGGCAACTACACTATTGTGAGTGGAAATAATACCGTTTAATATACGTTCAAACATGCCTAGGGAGATAAAAAGCACACAAGAGATTAGTCAGCATTTTGATTTCACAAACATAAAGGTGATTTACTTAATTTATAATTAGGCCAATCAGTGGCGGATCCAGGAAAGCGAAATAGAAGGGGAACAGTTTGGGAAAGTAAACCACCTTAGCCCACCATGGCTGGGGCTGAGGTAAGAGGACTTATGATTATGACACCTCTAGATGGCACTTTCAGATCTAAATTCTAATTATAATTTTTCCTTTTTTTATTTTTTTAAATAAATGTTGAAAAATTAAGTGGGGTATGGGGGGTGGGGCGAGTCGGCTCGACCCCATTTGAATCCGCCAATGATTATTATGACATCATTGAGAGATATTGCATCAACGTAACACTGGAGTTTGTACACTTGTGGTGTCACTACTTAAATTATTCGAAATAGATAGACCTGTCCGTGTCAAAGGCTGTATAATTATTGTTTAATAACGGCTATATAAAATGCAATTGACTTACTATAATTTTTTGAAATTAGGAAAAACAGTAATCTATGTAGGCCTATGCAGATAATATTAATCGTTTATAGTAGAAATTGTGCACTTTTGAGTTGAGTAAAAATATTGGCCTGATAAGTTTACACGCTTCCAATGTTAACAACGTACAGTACATTGTTTTCACAATAAATTTAGCCTCTGATAACCGTTGCACCCATAAAATCGATGTAGCGGTTACTCAGATGGTTACGAAATGTACAAACAATTGCGATTTAATCGGTTTTGGTCCAGAAATACGCACCGCACTTGGAAAAGAGCACAAGTGAACAGACAAAATTCATGACAATCATTCGTAATTGTTGTTCTTTCCATTCGCTTTGAAAAGCGAGTTTTTAATTATAGAAGATTGGTGAAAAGTGGGGGAACAATTGATATGTCCCCCTATTTTGAAAAGTTGGGGGCGTGGCCCTGTCCCCCATCGATCGACGCCCATCGGCGCATGATTTGTCTGACGTAATACTAAGAACTGCGACTACCGTACTCTTGCGAATAAGCGCCCGAGCGCTTAAAATATTTTTTTGCACTTTCTGAGGGGCGCTTATTCAAATAGGGCGCTTATTTAAACGGGGTGCTTATGAAAACAGAGTGGAAATTGAGGGGGCGCTTATGGAAATAGATGAAAAACGAGGGGTTCTTATGGGAACTTATTAAATTCAAGAAGCACTTTTTGAATGAAAAAAGATTATATAAGGACGAATCTTGGTTAGGCGGAAAAGATAATCGTCCAGAGAACATGGCTCATGACAAGAATATTGTGAATATTTACATAACAGCAAAATAGCAGATGCAATTAGTGATGGTGGGTAGTGGTTAGCTTGTTGGCCATCGGCTGACAAATATATAAGAGGAAAGTTGGAAATATACTGTCTGTGTAGGGATCGGAGCTCTCATCTGTCCGAGAGAAATATCCTCATTTTGATGTTGATCTAAGAAAAATGTGTTTCCACTCTGGAGCTCAAATCATGCCAAAACCACAGTCCCAGAATTGATTGGATTATTGACTTGCTAAAAAGAAAATCTTATGATATTATTGAGGGGCGCTTATTCAAATTAGAAGGGGCGCTTAAGGAAATGTTCACGTTAGGAGGGACGGTTATTCGAGAGGGGCGCTTATTCGCGCGAGTACGGTACTGTTACTATACACTTGTTGGTCAGCCCATAAAACCCCTATTCCCATAGTTCTACCCCAGTAGTTAATAGTAGTAATGCTTTTTTTTTTAGCAAACAATAAACACCGACATCACATAACAAATGAACGGATGACAAAACAGTTGTTGACAATTAACCGAAAACGGGGGAAAAAAAACAAAACAAAAAAAAACCAGATTGGTCAGTTAACCTATAAAAGTCGTCAAATAGGTTCCACATAAAGTTATAAAATTCTAGAATATATTCCCGAGTGGCTAGGAGTAGGTTCGTTTTGCCAAATTATACCCGATAAGAAGTCTAACCTATAGTATTAGAATGGATAGTTGTTGTTTCTTTGGCCGAAACCCAAGTGATTTCTTGATAGCCTGTTGCAAACCTTAATACATGATAAGCAGTCCCTGCATGATGAAAGGAAAGAAGGGTTTCCTTAATGTCGTTCCCTTTATCATCAACATCCTTTGGAAGGAATAACTTAAGCCAACATGCGAGTCTAAGAGTTTGGTCCCTCGCTATACCTTACCTTTAGCCACAGGTATCGCACGTACCTCTTCCTGTGCGACCCCCCCCCCCCTTTATCAATCAGTCCATGTTTTACTGTCACACCACTGCAGCTATAATATTAACTTATCGACCTGACTGCATTGGTGGCGCCAGCGAGGGTGGGGGACGGTCACCCATCGGACAGGTCTGGACCCCTGTCGTCTGACGTCACGACTAGGTCGTTGGAACAAAAATCTAAATAATAATAATAATCTGCCTATCCCAATAACGTTATTTTGATTGCATATTCCTAATACTTTTTTTAAAAGCACAATTTAGACCATACTAGGCCATAAAAACCTCTCCATGTAAGCCCTACCAGGGATTTTTTATTCCGAGCTGTCGTCTGTCCGGACCCAAATTTCTGGCGCCACCGCCTAGTGATAATTGGTTTTTTTTTTATTGCCCCCCCCCCCCCCCCCCCCCACGCCCCCATGAAAGCATGATAGATATTATCTAGGCCTACGTGTGCTGGATCAATAACGACCGGGCATAGCGGTTGACGTTCCACATTTCCCTTTGCCCATTTTCACGGCGAAATTCCTCAAATCTGGCCGTATAGAAATTCGCCTGCCCGTAACGATTGAAAAGTCACGTCCAAACTACATTTGGCCGAATTTGTGAAAAGTTTACACATTTTTTTAAAAATGTTGTAGAATTGATTAAATATTTGACAGAAAATGATGTACAGATTTTTTAATATTTAAAAACTGTGAGAAAAAGTGTGGTTCTGATTCTATAGCGATAATTCCAGGCCAATAGCCGGGTTCTTCCAGGGTGGGAGTGGTTCTTTGGACGTGGGGTCCAGGGGACAAGCCCGGGTGGTGTCGACGAAACCCACGAAGCCAGATGATTTTTATGTTTTATGGGTCTAAATAATTCTAAAAAGCAGTATGTTTGTAAAAGGTCTACAGCAAAACAGTCCGTCTGAGTCTGGGTGGGTTTGCAGTGCATTACTTGGGTTTGAGGACTCGTTTGGGAAATTGGGAGGGGGTTCCCCGTAAAAGGGGAGGGGTTGCTAGAAAAGGGGATTTGCCCGGCCATAAAAAAACCCCTCACTGCGGGCCTGGATTTTGATAGCAACATTGATTTATTGATTTACTGCAACAATAACGTTTAGATGTGAATTTAGATAAAATAGCTTATAAAGTATTTATTAAAATTTCCACCTTTGTATTAGCACCTGTCTGTTTTACCTTAGGCAAACTAATGTAATTTTCATTCTAATTAATTTTTAAAAAGAGTCGCACGGATTTGCCATATGAAGATTCGATAACAGGCCAAATAAAATTATCGAATACAATGTACGAATTAAGAAATAATAATAAAAAAAAAACAAACTTCAATCTTAAGATGTTGCTAGCGCAATAATCAATCTTAATAATGTGATTTTAAATAGGCCTACGTGCTGCAACTAAAGAGTATACTAGGCCCTATTTCATAATGATGTTTGGGCATTTGTGGTGATCAATAAATTATAAGAACAATAGACAATGAAAGATTAATTTTGTTCTCTGTATATCATTTTGATTTCTTCAATTTGAAACAAATGATCGATGATATTTTAACCGAATATAATCCATTGTTATCTACTAATCCGATTAAAATCCAGTCGAATTTTGACTGATATCCAAAAAAACTTTGGCCGAATTTATTTATGCATAAAAGTATCATGTAGCCATGGGCCTACTCTCAGATTTTAGTATTGATTAATTTCAAGAGACAGCTATTCCTGTGTATTCCTGCTCTTAACGATTTTTAAAATTACAATGGTGTACATTGACATGAGTTCAATTCATTCCATCTGGTGTTTGTTACAAAACCAGGTGTGGCGCCAGCAGGGTGGAGGGCAAGGCCCCGTCGGGGAGAGCTGCGCCACCCCCCCCCCCTATGTCGGGGAGAAAAAGCATAATTCGTCGGGAAGAAAAAAAGATTATATTGTATTTTCTACATATTAGTAGACTCTAAATAGATTAAATAAGCCTTTGAAACCTCTAAATAACGCCCACTTTGCTTTCGTCGGGGAAATCTGACCCCTCGTCGGGAACATCAGGCCCCCTCCCCGTCGGGCAAATCCTGGCACCACCCCTGTACAAAACTAAAACTGATTATCCTTGGATAATGGAGAAACAATCAAGATGGTCCATATTGTGACATCGGAAAAAATAGCTCAAATATGCATAGAAAACCGTGCTTCGTTTCATAAGTCAGTCTTGCCCTCTCCAAAATATCAATGAATAAAACTTGCTTCACCCACAAAAGAAATGCGTGACCCCAATCCGCAATATAGGCCAAGTAATTTCCTACCCCTCGTCGCTCTTTTGCGTACAAGGCAGTTCCCCCTACCAGGAACTTAGCCATAGTCTCTTATACACATCTAGATGTGTATAGGGGGTAGGGGTTCGTGTTGGACTGTCCACCACCCTACGCCAAGGACTCCCGGTGGGGCCCAAGGGGAAAAGACCCCTGGGTGGGGGTCCTGGCGCGATTCCCTTGTAGGTAGCGTATTCTGGACGTTTTAGGACTGTTTTGAGGGTATGAAGTGAAAATTGCAAGACTTTCACAGATATAGGATTGACCCACCGCCGGAAATGACACCTTTATATACCGTAACCAAATTCATCGTCATCATATCACCATTATATATATAATAAAGCGCCAACAAATGTATCATAGAAAATAAAACCTTAAAACATTGTCTTTGATGCGTTTACTTTACATACTTCAAAGCTGTGAGTCCACAACCACCTGAGGTGAGAAAATTTTAGAAAATATTACCTCTAGATGGCCGGAAATGACACTTTTATATTGTAAAATTTATCATCACAACACCATATTATAGTCTAAATGAAGCGCCAACAAATTTCTCACGATCTTTTATCAGGGATTTTCTGCAAACATAGAGATAGGTAACCCAGGCCTAACTATAGCTTACTAAGCTTTAACTACAATAATAATTATCATAATAATGATTAGATAAATTACAAATTTCTTTTTCGCTTTTAGCACAATTTTCTTCACTTTTTATTATTATTAATATTATTACCGTATCTATTATCATTATCATCATCATTATTATTACTACTACTAGTAGTAGTAATATTATTAAGCAAAACTTCATGAAAGCTTACAAAAGGATAAAAACAAAACTGAACCATACATTATCACATTTCTGTATCTTAAAAGACCTGGCCTAGGATTTATGGATTTAAGACGAATTTAAGCTGATTTTGATGACTCCACCCCGTGAGCGGTAAAGCCGTTATATAATCCCGAATATTCTACTCGGTTACATGGGAAGCATGGAACTTTTATTAATAGGCGTTTATTGTGGGTTTCTATCGGAGTACGGGTCAAAAACATAATGATATAGTAGGAGTCAATTAGAAATTGTACATGCATTTAAATCATCACCAAACTACGTATTTTTGGGGGTAGTTTTTGTATTTCTAATTTGCGTATAAACAATTCACGCTTAGGCCAATGTTTTATAATTATAGTAGGCCTATTATGTATAACGTGTGCTGATGCATATTTACATATTTTAGAAGTAATTCATTTTGAGTGATCCCAGGAAAGAATTTGTATTGGCTTGCAAAAACAAGCTTTAAAATACTAAAACAGTGTACAAAGGGAGGGGTGGGGGCAGGGACATACCCCTGCCCAACTAGTAATTGTATAAATAATTATTGAAATGATAGTGTGGATAAAATTATTATAGAAAATAAATTTATAATTTATAATAAGCAGGCCTATACATAATTATGAACAACAAAGTTTCCTATTCATGTTTGTTTGTTTTATTTTGTATTTAATAACTAGATAAAATTGTAATTAACTGTAATATTTAGTAGAACATTAAAGTCTATGTTGACCGTTGTAGACAGTTATCTGTTTTTTTTTCTTTTGACCAATAACAATAATGTCATCTATCGATAAAAACCATCATATCCATTCAACAGATTTTCGACTGTGGCAGTGCCGATAAAAAACTGCACTGCCAACAGAAAATAGGAGCTTTCTTTTCGCACTGCGGCAACGCTGATAAAAAATAAGTTTTTGTTTAGCACTGTGGCAGTGCCGATAGAACAGACTTAGAAATCCGCTTGTAAAGTAGGTGCGCATAATCTTTGCATAATACACTTGGGTCAATACCTTATTTTCAACAAAAACTTCGCAAAAACAGCCTTTATTTTCCGAAGTATGTAGGCGAATTGCCAGGTTCAATTTATCCCCCCCCCCATGCAGACCTTATTTTATTTTTTTGGCTATACCGTAAAATATCTAATTGCACGGTGGATACATCTAAAAATTAAAGAGATAATGTACAAGCATATTATTCAGGATTTTGATTATGTTATAATGTTTGTATAAATGTATTATTATAAAATTCATTAATATAATTCTTTGTTTTTAAAATAATTACATTAATGATTAACATTAAAATTTCATTATTTGACCTAATGTTGAAATTGAAGAAGTGATAATAATAATAGTAATAACAATAAAATAATGTTTTTATTGGCTATAGACTATTATTATTCTAGAATTACAATTTACATTTAATGCTTGTTTAAAATTAACACACATTTAAACATAAATGTTGCATTCCTCCTAATTCTGTTTTTTTAAATGAATGTATGCATTTTATTTAAGTGAATACGGTATACTGTAAAGTCTAATTGCAAAATGCACTTCTGAAGATCTCAGCAAACCAGTAAGCCAGTGGCTATAATGTTGCTTTCTCGTTTTGTGCTTGTTAGTTTCTGCTGAATGGTGAGTTCACAAAACTTGTTTTTATTATGAATTTCATGTCCATTGTTAAATGCTTTGTGGGATAACTTTCAAGTTGGTTCAACATATTACAACACAAAAACCTGTTACATTCCCTAATTAAATTATTTTAAAATAAATTAAATTAGATTAAAATGTTTTTATAAAATACGGTTTTAATTGAAAATTATTACAATTAACAGGGTAATACAATTAAAGAGATCAAAATAATAAAATTATTTCATTCATGTCAGTAATATAAATATAAATATATATAAATATATTAATATAAATTTGTATTAAATTCCAAATGACCATTACAATTTTGTAAGAACAAATATTCTGATAAAACAAAAAGATAGAAAATATTGAGTAGTAAATTTTATAATTTAATTTTTTATTTATTTATTTAGCACTCTTCAGACTGCTATACACTGACTAAGTATCATTATAAGGGCTTAGGGTGTGGAGTTGTTTTGTCATTGGAGGGCAAGTATCTTAACTCCTCTCTTATATTCCATAGGGTCTAAACTTACCTTCTGGGATAGGGTCAGTTTAACCATATTTAATAATTATTTGTAACTTACATAAATTTTAATGTTAATGAAGTGAAATTTAATACTAGTTATCATTAATTGAGAATAAAAATAATACAATACTAATATATAATTTAAAATTTAGGCAGTGTGGGAAACACTTGTACAGAGATAAGGTCAGTTAAACCATGTTTTAAATATCAGTTTATGTGGTACTGAATTAATTACCTTTTGTAATAATTCATTTGGAAAATCAAAATGTAAATCAAAGTAATTATATAAAATATCAGTGTAATATTAATTAGCTAATAACTGAATAGGTAACAAGAATTTAAATTAATCATAACTTAATACAGATTTGATATTAATGTTAGCAATGCAATAACATGTATAAACAAATTAATAGATGTTTTTTCAAGTTTTCTTTACCAATGGACAGTTTTATTAGGTATTAGATATCATATATATGTATTTGGTAACCTATTTCAATTTAAATTAATTATAAAATGTCACAAAAAATAATTAATGTAATAAGAACCACCCCAGTGACAATCCTATTATCTTTAACATTAATTTTAACATTATCTTTTTGCAATGGACTTATTACTGCTGTATTCCTTTTCATTGATGTTTGGAACTTATTTTTTCATTCCCATAAATATAATGTATTCCTTTTACTATTGCAGTGGACTTTTTAATTGCTGTATTCTTTTTCATTGATGTTTGTAACTTATTCTTTCTTTCCTCAATAACAATTGTCTACTTTAATATTTCAGCGGACCAGTTGTCTCATCCTGTTCGGCTCTATTTCTGTAATGTTGCTTTTATTGCTTTTGGGATTGCCATTCTAGTATTTAAAATATTCATTGTATTTCATTACTTAGTATTGAAAAAAATAAATATTCATTGTATAATTGGCTTTTGTATTTCATTTCTTAGTATTGAAAAAATAAATATTCATTGTATTTTATTAAATATTGGAAATACGCTTCATTGTATTCAAAGTTGTTTGTCTTCTTGTGATGGGATGGACAATATGCAAAAAAAGCGCCCTCTAATAGAAAAAGGCCCTAAATATGACTAAGTTTTTTGGCCACTTTAGTCTGTGGAGTTCTGGTAAAAATAGTGAGGAAAAGCGCCCTCAAGTAGCCTTTTCCCCTAAGTTCTTTAGGGTCTCTTAATTGTCAATGGAAGAGAAATCACCCTCCAAAATCCAAGTTTTTCAGAACTCCACAAACAATTGTAGAACACTAAAAAACTGGCTATTAGAGGGCGCATTTTAACCATCCTTGTAATAGAAACTGAAAATTAAAGAGACCCTGAAAAACGTAGAAACAAAATGGCTAGAGAGGGCGCTTTCCAGCACCACAGGGAACCCCTTTAAACAGAAATTTAGAGACCCAGGAAATTTTGTTTTTCTATTAGAGGGCACTCTTCAGCACCACTTTAATTGAGGGAAAATTGTTCTCGTCCTTTTTCTTTTAGAGGGCGCTTCTTTCGTCTTACCTGCTTACCCAGTTTTCAGACTCGACCAGCAAAGAAATACATCAACACATTACTTATATTTTTTAATATAAAAACTTTACAACTAAATTCATAATATAATATGTATTTATATAAAATGTACATGAAATATATGAACAACTTCCTTCAACTCCGATACTGATACAAATACAACCACCGTGATTAATCTGTCTTAATGTTCAGCAAGATGTTGAACAGAACTCCAATATATCTTCTCCTAATTGTCTTGCAAACTATTAGGCATAATCAATAAAATTAACTAAAAGTATAACTGCTTTACACGGCCTATATTAGAAAAATGGATTATAGTAATTCTGGTTCCTCATCTTATCGTAATTCGATCATATCTTCTGTACGATATATTAAATTAATATTTCAGAATGATGCAAGTTGTCTTAATCAAGTAACTTATTATTAAAGATACAATAATTGGTTGTGTTCTTTCACTGGGATTACTCTTTCGAACTAAATTTCCGTCCGTGTACTTTTCTTGTTTCGCAACATTGTTCCTTGCTCTGTTGCTGCACCTGCCAAAAATAAAATTTAATAAAGAATGAGAAACAGCAGATAAAGGGAAGGAACGAAGAAATAAAATTACATTAATATTGTAATTTCATAAGGTCATTTGATACTTACAGTGCCATGATACTTTGATACATATACCTTGCTTAAGAGATTTGTCTGTCCTCTGCAATAAGAGATTTGTCTGTCCTCTGCAAAAAAAAAAAAAAAAAAAAAAAAAAACAACATACAAATTACAGATCACTGTATGCATTATACAAGCTTTTAAATTTAAATGAAAGATGAAAATAAGAAAGCAAATTAATAGCGGCCGAATAAATAAATTGAAGGGACCAAAATGAAAACAGGCTAAGATGAGGAGCGAACACGAGGATACTACAAGAAGGGAAACTGCAAGAAGGGAAAGAGGAGAATATATATAGACGTGAGGGTGTATCTTTCACGCTTTCTTGACCTAAAGATGTTTCGCTAATGAAAAAATCCATGAAAATCAACTTGATTTTTGTTCTTTCAGTGTTCATTGAAAAATTATAGTTGCTTTGCAATTTATTTTGATTCTGGCTTGTACGACCTACCGTCAATAAGAAGCTGGCACTTACGAGTTCGATTACGATGGACCATGAGATACTATTATACAATTATTATATTACCTGTATCCTGGATGCAGTCTTACCTCCAAGGTAGATCTCAGGTTGTTGATATGATAGAGACCAAATCCCATATGATGGAAGCAAAATGCTGAGTACCACAAGGATCTATTATAGGTCTCCTTTCAATTCTCATATGTCAACGACATTGAATCAGCCGTCGATGATGCCGCTCTCTTAGTTTCAAGTTCAGATGTTAATTATTGAGGTTAAATTAAGCAAAGAATTGCAATCGCTTAATCAATGGATAATAGATAAGTTATCTCTAAACACCAATTTTATTTGGCTCTACGAAAATGTGTAAAAAACAGTATGAAATGAAAATTACCTGTAATGGCAATAGTATATATGTGAAGTCATCAATCAAGTCTTGACTTTCAAAATCTTTCAGGTTCTGCTACTGGAATGAAAGTAATTAGCAAAATAAATTGTATGCTTAAACTTCTGTATAGAAACAAATATTTTTCTTACCCATTCTGCTCTTAAGCTAATTGCCTCTTCTCTTACTCTGTGTCATTTCGATTATTGGTGCTCTAATTGTATTGGTACTCCGGTGTTAACAAATCTATTAACAGAATTCAAACGTCACAAAACAAAGTGATTAGATGCATCTTGAACCTCAGATTATGTGCTCATATTGGCACAATTGAGTTTACCAAACTGAACTGAAAAGAAAAGCTCATAACATGTACAGAATCATAAATAATATTTTCCAACTTACCTAAATACAGTTTACCTGGCAAGACGCACACATATAATGACAATACTAAATCTTCAAGTGACAGCCTCCCACTCCAAGTGCCGATCACTGGAACTCACAACAGGTTAGGTTACAGCCATTCAAATATGGAATTCACTTCCTTTCTCAGTGCAAAGAGCACTCTCAATAATTATTTTAAAATAAATGTAAAGAATATTATAATTAAGTGTTTAAATTAAGTGATGTTTAATTATTTTGTTTTGACTTTGAATTCATTATTGTGTAATGTTTGATTATTTGTTTCTTATTCTGTTTTCTATATTAAATTTGGACCACAATGGGAAAAGTTTGCCTTTTTTGGTACTTTTTTGTGTTTTTATCCACGAATGTTATTTTGTATTCAGAACAAAGAAATGAAAAAAAATATTCTCTGTACTTCTCTGTACCATATTCTTATGGTAATTTCTCAGATTAACATAGCAACAGTACGTTGTTTTTTTTGGGATGGCATGCCTCAAATATAGGCTATCTAATATCAAATATCTAATACTGCAAGAACTAACTAAAAATTAATAAATACAAGTACTGTTACTGGCACTTGTATGGGCATTTACAATGCACCTCTTCCTTGAGGTTATAAAGCGGAGTTCTGTTTCTTGGGTCAATTGGTCCACGTGCTTTATGTGTTGCTACAGGTAATCAGTGCAGGAGTAAGCAACCCCACCAGGTACCCATTTATACTCCTGGGTGCGTTCGTGGATAGAAGCAATGCAGATAAAGTGCCTTGCTCAAGGACACAAACGAAATACACAGTGAGGGATTGAACCCCCACCTGAAAGCCAAACTTGGAATTATCATTTAAAAACATTGTCATGCGTGAGCATGAATGTTACTTCTACTCAAGTATCTGAAAATACCAATAATTAAATTTTAATTTCTCCTACAACTTAACTTTCTACCACAACATGTCTCATTTAAGAATAAGGAATATGAACAGGAAGACGCTCATATCGGGACATCAAAGCTGGTCTCTCACTGGCCATTATTAGGTCTACAGTATATCGCGTTGTGTGGTGCTTCTATAGAAGGCGATGATTTTGTACTTTAGTAAAGGCCTAGATATTTAATATTCTTAATGGTCGATGAGGTGGTGCACCGTCATACAAAAAATAATCAACTGTTTGTATCGAAACAAATTGTATAAATTTAGGAAATGAATTTTCGGGCATCTACAGGTGTCATTTATTGTAATTGGCATATCTACAGAGAATATGTTTCTTACCGAAAAAAAAAAGTATTCGGGCAACCTGCACCATTAAAAAAAAATGTACGAAACAAATATCACACTTAAGTACTTAAAATCCACCTGAAAACGCCTTATTTTGCTAGCTAGCACCCCCTCACCCAAGCATGAAGCACTACACATTCGTGTACACACATGGATAAGCTATTATTAAGGTATTATTAATTAGAAGATGTATTAATAAACTCAAAAATATTATCCGGAAATACAATTAAAACAAGATTAGGTAGTAAGAGAAACTGGATTGCACAATATTTTCATAAAATAATAAATAATAAATCTATGGGAAAATAATAACAGTTTAATATAAAATAATTACCCATGACAGAATAACAATTCACATTTTAACTAGAAATAACAATGGCAAAGAGGCACAAACAGCGTTTATTCAGCACTACTTCGTTTATTTATAGCAAATAACATGCCAAAAATGTATAACTGCACAGTTTACCCGAATCAACTGTGTTCACTAAGCAAACAACTTACTTTTCCATCTAAGTCTAAAAATATATAATACATTTTCTAAATATTTTATTAGAATATAAAAAACAATATTGGTAATAATTTGATATTATTACTTGACTTTCGATCATAGAGAAGAATTGCTAATAAAAACAATAATTTATATTATAATTACATGACTTAAAATATATATTTATTATTTTACTCTGTAAATAAAATTACAAACAAATTTATACAAAATAATTGTAATGTTTGTTTAACCATGGAGGTATTATTGAGAAGGAGATCACTCGGCAAAGCTACGCGCACGCAGCGCTATGCAAATGAACCAAGATCAAAGTTGCCGCAGCGCGTAAAGAACGTTTGCGCGATGCCTTTGAAGTCCCATGTGTTCCCCGCCATCAAATTTTCAAAAGGCATAGTTGACCAAAAAATTGAACATGACGAAATGGAGAGCACCTTCTTTTCTCAATGCGCACTAC